ACGTCGTGAAAGTCCAAATGATGATTTTGGTTACCAAATTTGACTGTTTACTGACGTTAAGAATCAGAGAATAATCATTTTGATTTTTTGTTGACTTTTATGTGTTTCTTCTTGGGCCCTTCCTCTTCAATTTGGCCTCCCCTCCAATGTTGTAATATGTGCAAATAATTCGATAATAATCAAATCGCTTGTACTCATAACAATATATATTTTCGATATTACATTCATCGAAACGTGGACAATCTGTACGTATGAAGAAATGGTAAAGAATGATGCAAGGATACGAAAGATACGATCAAGTACAAATCTACATGCCGATTGACGTTGATTAAAATGAATCACGTTTAACACGAAAAGTATCGAGGGGCCATTTATTGATCGTTTTTTATTTTTTAGATAATACAATTATTTATTATAATATTATTTTTATTCTTGATATTATATGTAATATAATAATAATATTTTTTTTAGACAATGTTACATTTCCTATGTAAAAAGTACGATTCTAAAATTGTTTAACAACTATGTCCTTTATGCTGATAAAATATTTAGCTTTTCACTTTCTTTATGGATGTAGATTTGTACGGGATAGACGACGAACACAGCTGAACGGTCGTGATCTCCGGAAACGCTTCCTTGACGATTAGCATCGCGGGTGCATCGTCCTTCCCCGGTGGAGGCGTGCGATGGAGAGACGCGAAAGGCGAATTTGCAAGACGGTTTTCGCTTTTCATGATCGTCTCGAATGAGTCATTCAAAGTGAAGGGGCGGAAAAAATGAATCACGACGAGCAACGACGAAACGAATAAAGGCATCTTCTATTTCTGCACGCTTTGCTCCATCATCTATATATGATAGATCCGTTGCGGCGCATATTCAATGATTCATCCCGAGTAATCCGTCGGGACGCTTCGTAGAATCCAAGTCTATATAATTATGATTATATAAAATAATGTAAACAGCTGTGATTTCGAGATTTAAAAGATTGCAGAGATTTTTGGATCGTCGAACGTATACTGGACAATTCGGTAACACTATCTACGCGAATAATTCATTACGTAATGCGTTCATTTTGAAAGACTCTTTCGAGATAATTTTGGAATGCAGACCGTCGTGAATTCGCTTTAAGCCCATATCTCACTACTCATTGGAGATTAAGAACGAGAGCACAGAGTCTTTGTGTAACGAAAATGCGTAATAAAATAAAATCAATGAAAGTCCTTCATTTCCTTCCCTTTCATAAAATAAAAGTCTCTAATTGATTTTTTATGCTTTATGCATAGACCTGTGCTTCGGTTTCAAAGATTGCGAATTGGAGAGATTAGAATTTCACTCAGCACATTTTATCCGATGATCCTTTTAGGAATATCCTTAGAAAACATCCTTTGACCGTCTATGAAATTTAATGAGTCAAATAATTTTAATTTTAATTAATTTTATTCTGATTGATTTAACTATAATGTCCTATTCGCAATCCTCAAAGTGTAGTGTGACACGGGCTTTAAGCTGAAGTATTGTCGGCGATGAGTCAATTCGTCAACGGATGGAATGTTAGACGCCGCGCGTTCAGTCACAACTTCCCCAATAATTTGATCGCAACGTGTTCATCGGCGATTAGCACTTCGTCCGTTCTACCGAATCGAAATGAGAGGACTGTCTTAAGAAAGATGAGACAATACATTGAAGATACTACTAAAATACGAATGCAGTGTCGAAAAGCCTGCAAACGTTTTCAAGAACTTTTAGAAATGTTTCACGCTCTCTTATACTTCCTCTCCAATAAATGATTAAATTGATTAATTATATCGCGCGTCCACATTGTACAAAATGACATCGATTTGCTTTCATTTCATCGAGATATTTCTTATCAATCTCTTCGATAGACGTAATATAAACTGCGCATTTCCTGATCTTAGTATCTGTGCTAAAAAGAATCGAATCGTATCAACATCTCTCTTTAACTCGACACTTTAGAAAAAGAGAGAGAGAGAGTGATATAATTCAAGCTATCTCATTCTTTCTAAACTGATAGTGATAATCGATTTACAGAAATGCGTCGTTTATTCTTTTTACGTTTAAGTCTATACTATATTCATCCAAGTATTTTACAACTTGACATCAAGAATGCGTTCGCAATAAAGCATTATTTTATCTTTGTTTAATATTTAAAAATGAAATGATGCTTGCAAGTATTGCGAACGTTAAGTGGAACGCGTCCCTAATGACGTCTTTAAACGTCAATAAAACATCGTTAAAATGTCACCTCGTTACTTTGGTATGAGTTGTATTCCATTTAATGTTCACAACGCCGCGTGTATTATCTCATTCTTGTTTAATATTTGATGACAAGAAGGATGAAATGATACTCGCGAGTGTGAATGAAATGTTAAATGAAACGCATTTTTAGTTGACAATCTTTCTTCAGAAGGCAGTCCTTTCGTGCGCGTCTCGTGAAGGTTGCTTGAGAATCGATTGATAATATGAGAGAGGAAAGTTTTCATGCGAAACAAAAACACATTCGTTTGATCAATACGTTGCAATTGACGAGGATGGTAACGAGAACGACGAGGACAGTGACGAAGATGACGATGATGACTACGACGACGACGACGACAATGACGACGACGACGACGACGACAACGAC